TTTGGTTGTGCCTGTTTTCCTTATTTGCATCCGTATAATACTAATAAATTGCAATTTCATTCAAAACATTGTGTTTTCTTGGGTTATTCTTTAAATCACCACGGTTATCGCTGTTTCGATCTCTCTACGGGACGTGTCTTTCTTTTTCGCCATGTTGTCTTTGATGAGTACAACTTTCCCTATAAAGAGTCCATTGTTACTTCGCCAACCCTATTATCCTCGTCTGTGGATCTAATCATCACCATTGGCTCGTCCACCCGTCCTGCTGCTCCGACCCCTGCCATCTCGCAGCCCCTTTCCTCACCAACGCCATCCACCTCTACTGCCCTGCCTGCTACCCAGTGCCCTCTTCAAATTTATTCCTGCAGGACCCAGCACCCTACACCTTCCCAGCCTCTTGAATCAAGCTATCTCGTACCCATTACTTCTACCTCACCTTAGGTCCCTACCACAAACCTGCCACCTATTCCACCACTTCCACTAGTTTCCTGTACTCCCGAGGTAAGTGCTTCATCTCATTCCATGATTACTCGAGGAAAAAGTGGTATTTGTAAGGCTAATCCCAAATATGCTTGTCTTACTACTTTTACTAATGACTTGGTTGAGCCTACATGTTTTAGCCGGGCTAATAAGCATCCTAAGTGGTGCTAGGCGATGACTGATGAGTTCAATGCCTTACAACGTAACGGCACTTGGACTTTGGTTTCGTTTCATCACTAGATGAATATTCTTCCAAATAAATGGGTTTATAAAATCAAGCGGAGTTCTGATGGTTCTATTGAACGTTACAAGGCTCGGCTCGTGGCTAATGGGTTTCATCAACATGAGGGTTTTGATTACAGTGAGACTTTCAGTACCGTTGTCGATCATGCGACCATTCGGTTAATTCTCTCAGTTGCTATTCACTTCAACTAGCCTCTTCACCAACTTGATTGCCAAAATGCATTTCTACATGGTTTTTTTGTCTGAAGAGGTTTATATGCGGCAACCACAGGGGTTCATTGATCCTCAACATTCCACTCATGTGTGTAAATTACAGCGTTCCTTACATGGTCTAAAACAAGCTCCTCGTGCTTGGTTCCAATGTTTTTCTCAACACTTGGAAATTTTGGGATTCACTACATCTCTTGTGGATTCTTCGTTGTTCACTTTCTTTGATGGTTCAGTGGTTATTTATTTAGTGATATATGTGGATGACATTCTTGTTACTGGTAATAGTATGGATCATATCAGTCATTTGATACATCAATTGGGTACTTTATTTTCCATGAAGGATCTTGGACCACTACATTATTTCTTAGGTATGGAAGTTCAACGTACTACCACAGGTTTTCATCTCACTCAGACCAAGTATATTACTGATCTTCTGAAGCGCACCAACATGCTGGACTGTAAGCCCATTTCGACTCTCGCCATTAGTGGCCAGCGCCTCAGCTTGTCTAATGGCGAACCATTGACTGAAATCATAAAGTCTCGTCGTGTTATTGGTGCCTTGCAGTATATGCTTTTTACCCATCCTGATATTGCATTTGCCGTTAATCAGGTTTGTCAGTTTATGCATCAACCCACTACAGTTCATTGGGTTGTGGTCAAATGCATCATCCGTTATCTCAAAGCCACTCCACACCATGGTATTGTTTACCAACCCAGTTCTCTTCAGCTCACTGCCTATGCTGATACGGACTATGCCGGCGACCCTGACAATCGTTGATCCACTATCGGTTATTGTATTTTCCTTGGTGACAGTTTCATCTCCTGGAGCTCCAAGAAGCAACGTGGTGTCTCCCGCTCTAGTACTGAAGCTTAATATCGTCAGCTTGCCTACACAGCCGCCACACTCTCTTGGTATCGCACTTTGTTTCGCGAGCTTCACCTTCCTCTTACACCCCCACATATTTGGTGTGACAACATTAGTGCCATTTCTGTTGCCTTTAATCCGGTCTATCAACAACGCATGCGGCATGTCGAAATTGACTATCATTATGTTCGTGAAAAAGTCACACGTCACGAGATCATTGTTGGGTATATCTCCTTCATGGATCAGCTGGCCGATCTTCTTACCAAAGGTCTGTCCGCAGCACAGTTTACCTTCTTACTGTCCAAACTTCTAGTGCATGATGTCCCTGTTAGTTTCCCGGGGGGGGTGATAAACCAGAGTCCTCTCTGGTTGTTGCGACATATTCCCATTCCAGCAAAGATATGGTTCCTCACTCCATCTCCAACAGGGACACACGAGCAACAGCGCAATCCTAGTCCAAGAAGGATTTCTAGTTCTATGTTGATTGTATTTTATGTTTTTTGTTTCCTACTACACGATTGATTTGTAACCCTATATATATATATATATATATATATATATATGTCAATGATAATTGGCTCACTCTATTATAGAGTTGAGATTCAGAAATCATATCTTTCAGCATGTTTAACACCGTGGGTCGTGGTTGTAGTTGTTTCATTTAGTTGTTGAGGCAAAGTAGACAGACATAAACATGTTTTGTGACATTCCTAATCTTTTGCATCGTAATAAAGCTCCATGGTGTTAATCAAATCACTCCATGACTCGCATATGCACACAAACCGAATGAAGGAAGGAGATGGCTAGCATAAGCACTAGGATGCCAAGATTTCTTTCTTACACAGTGTGGATGTCATCCCCAAGAGAAAATCATAAGGAAATTAAGTTACTATTTATGGTGTGAGCTTGATCATAATAAAACTAGATAAGGAGATTATGTATTAAGTTATTAACATTCGGAGTTTGATGCATCCGGAGTTTAAAATTATACAACTCTTTTTTGAATTTGTGGTGATAAATTAACATTCTCGAATTAATATAACATGTCAGATATCAAACAAAAGGATTACCAATATTCTGATTATCTATTTTTTATGTAATTGCCCATCACTACTCAGCTAACCCTTTGTTTTGTCATCACTCTCTTTTTGCTTATTAAACATATGAGCAGTGCGCGGAAGTACAGACATCCCTTAGGAACACAACATTTTAGAAGCGCGCGGAGTTAAGACATCCCTTAGGAACACAACATTTTAGAAGCGCGTGGAGTTAAGACATCCCTTAGGAACACAACATTTAGAAGCGCGCGGAGTTAAGACATTCCGTAGAAAGACAACATTTTAAGGTATATGGTTCAAGTAATGGTTTGATTTGTATATCAGATTCAGATTAATTAAAAAATAGTCCTACATTTGCATATGGAACCCATCCATTAGAAAGTTCAGGACTTTCATAGGAACCACGAGAATGGTTTTTATGTGACAATCACATTGTCGCATAGTGTTACCAATTAACTCATGTTATAACGTGTATATATTCGTACATGATGAGTCAATATTATATTATATATTTTACCATATTCTTAGGTATAGTTTATTGATTATTTTGGTAGAATTTTGATATTTTGTTATATATTTCAATATAGGACATTCGATTTCCTCTAGAGAAAAAAATGATTAAACGGATGAATTTTGGAGTGATTCTAATTGAAGGATTTTCGTGAGTCTTTCAAGATGATTGTATCAAAATTGCAGATTTTTCTACCAAGCCGTTTGACTGTGGCAATGAAATAAAGACCCAGCGCGCACCTTTCCCAGATTGACGTTTCTGGACATTTTGAGTATTTTGAAGATCAAGATGTCATATTTTGAGGAAGATTCCTTCTGAGGATTTGTAGGGGACGACTTCAGCTTTCAAAAGAGACATTTTAGGACCAAATCAGAGTTGATTTGGTCAGTCAAAAGTCCGATTTTCTGATAAGTCCGAATTTTAGATTAAATAGAAAACCTTTTATTTTCTGTTTTATTATTTTATTATGCTTCCTAGTCTTATGCTAAGACATTTTCTAGGTAGGGTTTTATTTTCTAGTAGTATAAATAAGGCTTTTTAGCCATTAGGGTTTTTTATAGAGGGGGAGAAAACGCAATACTTTGGCTTTAAAGAGCTTTTGATGATTCTAGTTTATTTTCAAGGTGTTTTCTATCTATGTTTTTAATAATATTTTGCTTTATGGTTGTTCGTAATTAGTTTCGTTTGCTAGGGCAAGGCCACGAGCCTTAGCAAGAATATGTTGTTGCTTTTCAATTTGCTTATGATATTATGCATTCAGGTTTTGAATTATTAATCACTGTGTTTGAAACTATCTAATTGTTTTGATGATTGGCCACCATTAGGATATTTAGAAAAGTAATTTGATGCAATTTTGGCAGAGGGCTATCCCTGAAATTAACGTTGGCTTCTTGTGGTTAATATGTATAACTTTTTAGGATGGATGACACGTCTTAAGGGTTATATGGTTTTTCAAAAGGATTTCACAAAACTTAAGTTTTGCATGTTCACATTCAATCTGGACACCACGGACGAGTTACATGTTAGATATACGTTCTATGTTGGAGGTTCCAAGTAGGGCATACTTTAGGAAAACCTAACCTTCAAATATGCATGTGTAATTCATAAGTAATTGGAAGAACTATATAGGATTGTCAAGATGACGGCGGAACCCTAGTGCATAAATAGATTTTCAAACTATTTTCTTTTGCCTTATTTACTTTGCCAATTTATTGAATTGTTTTTAATTAAATTCGTTTTTAATATTTTAGGTCATTAAATCATCTTTTTTCTAAAATTTGTTTTCAAATAATTAATTAAGATTTGGTATTTACATAAATTATTCATTCAATCCCTACAGAAAACAACCTTACTTGAGCCGGTTATACTACAACTACTTTGTTGTCTTGCAAGTATTTTTATTCCTACTTTTGCAGGTGGTAAAAATCCCATCATTTGTAGCTTAAGAGCATTTGCTGGTAATTTAGTAGGAAAGAATGAATGACATAAATTTCGGAACCTGCCCAACAGTTGTAACGCTTTGCTCTAGTACTAATGCTCATCAAAACATAGAAGATTTAATTCCATTTGTAACCTACTCCCCCCGAGCATCAAAATTTCTATATAAATCCTTGCCCTCTATCTTCTCCAACATCAACACGTCCAATCTGCCAAAACCTTTTTCTGGGATAGCACAAAAGAGAAGTTCCAAGCTTCCCAATGTCTAGACAAGCTCAAGCACTACTTTCACTACTCCTACTGGCAACATGTGCTGCAACCGGGCTGGCGGATGTGCCACCACCGCCCTTCCTGACCATCCCAAGCCTATTCCCGCCAGGGACCCCAAGCCTGCTGCCACCCGGCATTCCCGGCCTACTCCCTCCGGGGATTCCAGGGCTGTCTCCGCCGGGAATCCCGAGTGAGGTAGCAAAGTGCTGGTCTTCATTTCAGAACATTCCAGGGTGTGCATCGGAGATTTATACCACAATCTTGACTGGTAAATTTGCACTAGGCCCTGCTTGTTGCAAGGCCTTCGTCGAAGTTGATGAGACTTGCTTGCGGAAGTTGTTCCCACTGTTTCCTTCCATTCCTGCATTCCTCAAGAGCAGCTGTGCTGCTGCTGCTCCTAAACCAGCTGGATCAAAGCAGTAGTAACCAAGTAGGCGGTTGAGATGATAATTTTTACAGGAAATAAGTAGATCTTGGTTTCGATTAGGCATAGCCGTGCAGAGTTCTTCTTTAGTTTACATTGTGTGCCATTTAAGTTGGTAGGTTTTGGAGGGTTCAACCTTCAGGATTGTAATTTGTATGAGGGATCTCATTAACGAAGAGGATAACCAGCTTATGGTCTCATTCAAAAATCTCTCTCTCTCTCTCTCTCTCTCTCTCTCTCTCTCTCTCTCTCTAAGTTTTTTGTTTGGATAGGTGATACACACGATAGTGGGGGAGGGGGTAATAACTCCTGACCTTGGTTACGAAGATGAATGTTCTTAACCAACTAAGTTATAAGTCCCTCTCTTTCAAGTTAAAGGTGGAAAAATGACAATTTCACAGTATAAATTCCAATTTTAATGTTTCTCGAGAGAAAAAAATGAAAATTGGATAGTCAATTTTTATGTGAGAATCTTGTCAAGTGGCTACCAAGTGTGATCTCACTGCCATTAGTTAGAACATATCTTATGAATAGTGGGAACACCTAAAGAATCAGAACTTATGGGTTCCCCTTTCATATCTCCTAACCATTATGTTGAATTATGTGGCCAAGTGGCCATATACTTTAGAATAAACAAACCAAAAGTGGACAACATATTTCCTTGTTTTGGGGAGGAAAACATGGATCTTGTCTAAAGGTTTTTTGTTCTTTGGTCCCTGTGAGAAGTCACGGGGTGACTTAATGAATTTGAGCAGCAATTGCTGCTTTGGTTGTAAGAGAAGAAAGACAGTCGGATAACAGAGAGAAGAAGGGAGCAGCAGAAAGAAGAAGAGAGGTACGCAGCTTCCATATAAGAAAGAAATGTGATTTTCTTTCTTGGTTGGTTCTCACTCCATCAAAGTATTATTATTGTAATAGCTTTGAGCTTTGTATAGAGAAGAAATTAATCACTATATTTCTTTCTCTATTTGTTTCCTTGGTGTGTGAGAGCTATTGTGTGTATTGGGTTATTTGGGTTGTGAGATTGCCAACACTTTGTAAACTCCCATTTGGTTGATAGTGGATTATTGGGTGAGCTCCTACTGCTCCGAGGACGTACTCCAGTTACACTGACTGTGGAGGAACCTCGTTAAAATCTTGGTGTTATTTTATATATTGTTCTTGCATTTTCATTTGATAAATTTCCTGTGGGTTAGATTGAGTTGGTTCCATAAGGTTTGGTGCTATCCTAGCACAACAATTGGTATCAGAGCACTGGTTGCTCTTGGGTACTGTCTAGTTGCCAAAGATGTCAGATGGGCAAGATGAAAATCCTTTTGGAAGCAGCTCCGGGTTTGCAAGAACGACGGTGCAAAATGCAAAGTTCGAAGTGGAAAAGTTTGATGGCACAAACAACTTCGGGATGTGGCAATGTGAGGTCAAAGATGTGTTGGCTCAACAAGATCTACTTGCCGCTTTGGGAGAGAAGCCGGAAACTATGTCGAAGCCGGAATGGGAAAAATTAAATTTGTGGGCTTGCTCTTCAATTCGGTTGTGCCTTGCAAAAACTCAGAAGTATTTTGTGATGCGGGAGACGGTAGCAAGTGTGTTGTGGCAAAAATTGGAAGACAAGTATATGACGAAGAGTGCAGAGAACCGGCTACACTTGAAGAAAAAGCTCTACCGCTTCCAATACAAAGAAGGTACAAAAATGATTAGACACCTTGATGCTTTTAATAAGTTGATTGCCGACTTGTTAAATTTAGATGAGGATATTAAGGATGAAGAGATAAGGCCTTAATATTGTTGAATTCCTTGCCGGACTCTTATGAGCATTTTGTTACCACTATTATGCATGGTAAAGAAACTGTGAAATTTGAAGATGTGTCAAATGCCTTGATGAATTATGAAATGAGGCATAGAGATAAAAATCATGATAGTACCTCTGAAGCTTTATTTGTTAGAGGTAGATCATCGGAGAGGAAGTCATCTTCTAGTAGAAAAAAATCACACTCTCGACCTAGAGGAAACTCTAAAGGTAGAAAAACCTTGGAAAGAGATGAATGTGCCTTTTGTCATAATAAGGGCCATTGGAAGAAAGATTGTCCTAAGTTGAAGACCAAAGGAAAAGAAAGTTCTGAAGCCAATGTTGCTGAGGTTGAAACAGATGTTTTTTATTTTGCTTTAACCACTTCCTCATCATTTGATTGTGCTACTAAGTGGGTGTTGGATACGGGTTGTACTCATCATATGACTCCTCACAAGGATTGGTTTTCAAGCTTGAAAGAGTTTGATAGTGGCGTTGTGTTCATGGGAGATGACAATCCTTACACACAACAAAAGGGATTGGTACAGTTCGTTTGAAGTTGCATGATGGCATGGTTAAAGAGTTGACAGGTGTTCGGTATGTACCGAATTTGAAGAAAAAATCTTATTTCTTTGGGTACTTTGGAATCTAAGGGTTTCAGGTTTCATTCAGATGGACAGACATTGAAAGTTACTTATGGTGCACTTGTTGTGATGAAAGCTCCTAGATGTGGCCATTTGTATTTATTGCAGGGAAGCACTGTGACAGGTGAAGCATTTGTAGTCTCTGAAAATATGGGCACATCTGATTCAGATACTACTAGATTGTGGCATATGAGATTAGGCCATGCCGGTGAGAAAGCTCTACAAGGGCTTGTGAAAAAAGGTCTTCTAAAAGGTGCCACGACTTGTAAGCTTGATTTCTGCGAGCATTGTGTCTTGGGAAAGCAAACTAGAGTGAAGTTTGGTACTGCTGTACATCAGACTAAGGGCATTCTTGATTATGTGCATTCGGATGTTTGGGGTCCTACAAAGACTCCCTCTTTGAGTGGTAGACATTGGTTCGTGACCTTTGTTGATGATTATTCAAGAAGGTCTTGGGTCTACACTATGAAGCACAAGAGTGAGGTGTTAAGTATTTTCTTGGGTTGGAAGAAAATGGCTGAGAACCAGACTGGGAGAAAGATTAAGATTTTGAGATCGGATAATGGTGGTGAATACACATCCGATCCTTTCTTTAAAGTTTGCAAAGAGGAAGGAATTGTGAGACATTTCAGTGTTCGGGGAACTCCACAACAAAATGGAGTTGCAGAAAGATTGAATCGAACCTTGCTTGAGAAGGTTAGATGTATGTTGTCTCAGTCGGGTTTAAGCAAGTCATTTTGGGCAGAGGCAGTTAATTATGCATGTCACATCATCAACCGGTTACCCTCAGCTGCTATTCAGGGTAAGACACCAATGGAGGTATGGACTGGAAAACCTTCTTCTGATTATGACTATATCCGTATTTTTTGGTTCACCTGCTTATTTTCATGTGACTGAAAATAAACTTGATCCTAGAGCCAAAAAGGCTATCTTTCTTGGTTTTAGTAGTGGTGTCAAAGGTTACAGGTTGTGGTGTCCAGAGATGAAGAAATTGGTAATTAGTAGAGATGTGACATTTGATGAAGAAAGTATGTACAAAGTCTCTGAGAAGAATGTGAAAGATGTCCAACAGGTGGAGCGCTTGAGAAAAGTTGCCTCTGGTACTTCAAATCCTATTTCCGCTGATGTCGAAGCCACTACAAGTGAAGAAGTTGGAGACCATGAGGATGTTGAAGAAGTTGAACTTGAAGATTCTATTCAAGTTGAAGAGCAAGTTTCACCTCAAGAGTCTATTGCCAAGCACAAAGAGCGAAAAAGACACAAATATCCCCCCCAAGTAGTGCAGCAATGTATCCTGAGAGAGAGGGACTGAAAACAATATTCGATATAGTTCCTTGCATATTATGTGGCTCTCTTAGCCTCACATATCTACTCAAATCAATGGTCGGACTCAGTAACATGCACAGAGGCAGAATGGGAAGGAGACAAATTTACGCACTATACAAAGTAGTGGCTTTGAGCACGTCGATAAAGATGATCCATCGAAAAAGAAAAGGAGCAGATGGTGCTTAAGAATGACCCAGTGCGGTAGGCTACGGAAACAACTCCTGCTATCTTGAAAACCACACATCCCCAGGAAGTGGGAGATTGCGAAAATTGGACGCTATAAAGAGCCAGCGAAGACGAACAAGAGCCTGAGACAGTGCCACAGAGTATCATTTGCGCCAAGATAGAGGAAAGCAGGCGAGAGTCACGAAGAAAGCAAATGTACACATAAAGGACCCAGCTTAGCATGTTGACTAATGGGTATGAGCCTATATAAATAGTGAGGTCTCCGAGATTCATGGATGAGAGATCGGGAAATTCTTTTCTAAACCGTACTAGATAGAAGCGCATCCTCCGTCAGTCATGTAATAGTATGTTTCTTCTGTAATAAAAACAAGAAAGATAAGAGGGTCTCGTAATGCAAAGCTATTGCGATATACCCTCAGTTTTCGAGTGGCGACAAAACCTTGAGTAGTACTAAAGCCGGTCTTCATAACCTCACAACATAGGGCATCTAGAATTACAACATTTCGATATAATGAGCACAATCCTAAACTAGTGATACAACACATGAATGAATGGAGATAATAGTCTAGCTTAGTGACTCAAACATACATGGGAGAGAAATTAAAAATCAGGAGAATAAAAGAGATGATTGGTTTGAGGCAAATTGAAGATAAAATCAACTTTAATAGAATAGAGAAGCATATTGCAAAGGCTATGTGTAGTGGTGTTAGGGGAATTAAATGTAGTATGGAGCAGGGACCAGAAAAAAAATTAAATTACCATAAGGAACTGCCAATTATCATTGAAACATCATGGATAGTATTGCTCACTCCCTTCAGAGAAATAGGTTGAAATAATATGAGCTATACTTGTCCACATGTTAAAATTTCTCGATATAAAATGTTGTGCTGAGACATCAATGTGTTGTTCACTACATTGCAAAGAATATGTCGAAGCGTGGATTTGAGAAGTAGATTAGGAAAGTAGAGATGAGCTGCGTGAAGGATGCGCGTTTTGATGCATGAGCATATGAAATAGAGATTCTTGATTGAAGGAAACGGGAAAAAAGGAAATTGCTTAAGGCTAATTTAGGAACGAATTGAACTAATAGGAAGGAAATAGGACGCAAGCCAGAATCAGTAACATGCTACAATCTGAAATCACCCTGACATGAACTACTGTATCGAATGAGCTCATCACTCGAGATCATAAAGTTGGAGTCATATGAATATATA